AGAAGTAAACAAAGGTGTATGTTTGTAGAGTAATTTACAACAGCTTCGAACGCGGCTCAGCCAATTAGAATCAAGGACCGGAACCTTCCGTTTTATAAAGGAAGTTTCACTATGCTTTTATATCTCACACGTATTAAAAAACACACAAAATTGACATAACATTTTTATTAGTTTATTGTTTTTAAATATTTATTTTTAGCTTTATTTTATTTTTTTCAATTTATTTTTTTAGTAATTTTAGTACTTAAATTTAAACTTATTTAATTTTAGTTGCCAAGGCAAAACTTCTAATTTTCATTACTTATATTATTTACTTTTCATTACTTGTATATTATATAATATTATATTATATTATATTATATTATATTATATTATATTTTATTTCAGCCTAATTTCAATTAACGAAAACAATTTTAATAGTTTAAGTTCTTTAAACAATAGCAACACAGAAAAGTCCATACTTATGTATGTACACAAGCGCCTTGGTTTGATCTTTGTTTGTTTGTTTTTAGCATCTCATGCTCCATATAAATGGGATTACTGGCCCCATGATGACGTCCGAGCCGAGTGTCGTTTTGTGGGATTGACTAACCTGGGCGCCACGTGTTACCTAGCCTCCACCATCCAGCAGCTCTACATGATCCCAGAGGCCAGACAGGCCGTCTTTACCGCTAAAGTGAGTTTATAAAACTTAGTCAGATCTGTTCTTTTCTGTTTGTAATATAGGATAAAATGTAATTTATTTCTGTGATCAAAGCTGAATTTTCAGCATCATTACTCCAGTCTTCAGTGTCACATGATCCTTCAGAAATCAGTATAATATGCTGATTTGCAGCTCAAGAAACATTTCTGATTATTATCAGTTGAAATAACTTAATATTTTTCCATAAAACTATGATAGATTTCATTTCAGGATTTTCTAATGAATACAGAGTTCAAAAGAATGGCATTTACTGGTATTTGAAATAAAAAATCTTTTGTAATATTATAAATGTCTTTACTGCCTCTTTTGATCAATTTAATACATCCTCACTGCATAAAAGCATAACTATGCTGTCATGTCATAAATGCACTAATACATGACAGGCCATGCGTTACCATCATTTTACCACAGTTGAAATAATTGAAATGCGCGGCTTATTGTTTAATAACACACAGACGCCATTGTTTAGTTTCAAATGCTTCAGGATGTTTTTGGATTTATGTATTATAGTAATATGTGTTTATGTCTGTGTTTTATATTCAGTATTCAGAGGACATTAAGCATAAGACCACATTGCTGGAGCTGCAAAAGTTGTTCACTTATCTAATGGTACGTTACTTTATCAAATCATGTGATGCCCTCTCATGACTGCAGATGTGATGTGATTTGAATTTCTTCTCCGGTGTTAATGTGCAGGAGAGCGAGAGGAAGGCGTACAACCCTCGTCCCTTCTGTAAGACCTACACGATGGACAAACAGCCTCTGAACACAGGAGAGCAGAAAGACATGACCGAGTTCTTCACAGACCTCATCACCAAGATAGAGGAGATGTCTCAGGACCTGGTACGACATCAAAACAGCTTTGAGCGTGCTTCGTGAAATAGTCATAGATGTGTAATGCTGCTTTGTCGTTTCAGAAAAACACAGTCAAAACGCTGTTTGGAGGCGTCATCACCAACAATGTGGTTTCACTGGTAAGACTGAGCTGTTTGAACCTGCAGCTCTTGTGTGCAATGTCTTTTCTGAAAGAGAGAGATCGTGGATGAGCGTTTGATTGGATATCTGTGTGTGTGTGTAGGACTGTGATCACGTGAGTCAGACGGCTGAGGAGTTTTACACAGTCAGATGCCAGGTGGCTGATATGAAGAACATCTATGTGAGTGTTTCTCATTTACACACACACACACACACACACACACACACATCAGAAGGAAGCTTAATGCTCTGTGTACAGGTCACACAAAGGAGCAGGATTTAAAGGATTAACTACTAAATACAGGCTTTTCAATGGCTGATTTTATGATGTTATGGAGGGTTTTAAAGTACCGATAGCTATTTGTAATTACTAATGCTAAAGAACTTTCAATTTAAGTTAATATTTGAATTGTTTACTGAGTAACTTCTAGTGGCATTGCTCTGTTTTTATGTCTTGTAATAAATCTTGCATTGTAATTGGAAAAAAATATATATTAGTAATCCATAATCTTTTGAAAAACATTTTTACAATCAACATGTTTTGGGTGGAAAAATGGCTAATAATAGCCTTGACTGTAAATAATGCACGCAATATTTACTGTCAGTTTCTTTATCTGCAAGTATTTTGTCTGCAAAAAAAAATTGATCACTGTCACTTTTTCTCATGACAGAGATTGAAGAGGCCAAAATAAGTATAAAACATAATGAAATACTGCTCAAGACCATTTATGTTTGTACCTTGTTGACAAAAAGAAAATAACGTTATATTACGCTCGTAATGTGAGATTATATTACAGAGATTGAATGAGATTAAGCCATTATATCAAAAATTGCCTTCATTTGTTTTCTGTTTGAATATATTGTAGAATGTAATTTATTCCTGTGATCAAAGCTGAATTTTCAGCATCATTACTCCAGTCTTCAGTGTCACATGACCCTTCAGAAATCATACTAATATGCTGATTTACTGCTCATATATCATCTGTTAAGTAATGTGACAGGGTTATCCTGTTGGTTATATCAGTAATAAGCAGTGTTAGGGGTAACGCATTACAAGTAACGCGAGTTACGTAATCATATTACTTTTTTCAAGTAACTAGTAAAGTAACGCATTACTTTTTAATTTACAAGAGAATATCTGAGTTACTTTTTCAAATAAGTAACGCAAGTTACTTTTTTTTTTTTTCCAATTTATTGATTGACAGCTCTCCTGTCCCCATGTTGAGAGAAATCAGAAGATGTTACTGTAGTTCTAAAATAAATATTAATATGCATTAATTCATCTCGCTCAAAAAAAAAACACAGATTCAGTATTCCTCAAAATTAATAAAAATAATGCAACTCAGAATGACGCAAACCTGCAATAGTTAAATGTTAAACAACACAAATATTCTTTATGTATTTAATCCCATTCTTTTAACCAATGTCTTTGCTTCTGACCTTCGATGATCCAGTTCAACCATACTATAAGCAAAAATTACTCTAGACAAGAGTTTTTTATTGCTGAAGTGTGTTGAAATTTCTTCTTCTGCATTCTACTGTACGGACGTAAATTTACTTTCCCTTCATCCTGAGGCTTATTCATTTCACTTTTGGTGTGAAAAGGCTTTTATATTTGCCAAAAATAG